ACTTGTAGGGTCCACTAAAGTCCTCTGATTCATCCTGAAAGCCAGCTTTCTTTTTTGAGTCTGATTGCCTTAGTACTGAATGCTACACAATAGCTGAGGACTTTAGGGACCTAAAAATGCCCTCCTGCATTCAGTAAAATGAGGCTTACCAGATTCTCCCTCCTTTGTAGATCTTTTCTTTTTCCCTCAAAGGAGAATAGTTAGCTATTCTTCAAAAAATGCAAGCACAAACTAGCAGATGCAAATAACTTTTGTCTTTTCCCTTTCAAACAAACCCTATAGCAATCCAAAGCTTGACACACAGTAATAATATTTTGTTTCTTTCTGAATTGTAGCTACAGGCAACCAACAAGCTGCAGCAAATGTTGGCATTGCTGTTTCTCCTATCCTGAAGGAATGTATTCAAGTTAGATCCTGATCTGGCTAACATGTTTTAACAGCATCATGGTACAACGTGTGCCAACACTTGCCCTGCCGCCTGGCATGAAAGAGACGTCCTGAATAAACTTCTGCTGTGTATGACTGGTTTGCCTTAAAGCACAGCTCTTATTTTAATAACCTTCCCCACCTAGAATTCTTTTCCTGTTCTTCTCCCATATCTTAAACATCTGGCAGTTCACGTGGATCTGCTTGCTGCATGAAATCATCTGCAATACTAAACTTGCACTTCTGATTGCCACCTTTTAGGCTTTTCTTTCTGCTCTTATTGGGATACTTTTCACCCTTGCATAGCACTGAAGCGTTAAAGAGACCATTTGAGTCAAAGGCAACCTTCCTAGAATTTTAAGAGGCTCTGAATTGGTCTATAACAATGACATTCTAATTTAACTGTAAACCTATCCCAGAGCCTGCTCAGAGATGCACCCAGTTAGATAAAGATCTTTATCATTCATTTCTCCTCCTAGGTAACATTCCCAGACTTTTCAATCTTTTTCCTGTAATGATGTGCCAAGAAAAGCACACAATGGTCCAAGTGAGCTTTCTGCAAACCATGCTGTTCTATGAAGCGTTTTCCTGTGTATGCAAGCCCAATTTTTTGTTCTCCAGGAGTCACCAGATACTTCAATGACCTGTGTTCAACATTCCCAGATTATTTTCTCTTGATTCCTGCCCATTCATTTCATACTACATAGAGAAATCCCCTCATAGATAAGCAAGAGAATGTTTCCTTTAATATTTCTGTTCCAAAGACACACCTTTACAATGTAAAACAAACATAGTTTGGTGTCCTGCATAAGGATTCTTTAACACTCGTCAACAATTGAACTGAAACTGAAGTATGTATATCAGCAACTATTCGCATTAACATGTCCTAGCTTTGGCTCTCTCAGCTCTTCCCGTTCTCCACTGCTACTTGCAGGTGAGGACAGCAAATGGGCCTCAAACTAACTTCCTCTCTGATCAGTGCCTTTGTGGGGAGAGGGGTAAGGCATCACCCTTCACATGGGACAGAAGAACAATTTCTTGAGCTGTTCAGAGCATTTTTAAAAGGTAAATAGTTACGGATTCCATAACTTGTGAAACAACACAGAAGCTAGAATTTTCCAGTAATCATCCTTGCTTTCGTAAAGAGAGAGGAGAAATTTCAGAGCACTGGTGCCAAAATTACATAGCAAACAACAACAACAACATGTAAATCAACAATATGTCACACACAAATCACTTCCAGTCAGAGCCCAAGCATCGTATCCCTGCTCTGAGAAAAATCCTGGAAGATTCTGCCCTCTACAAAAGACTTAGTATAGCTGGATAGAGTGACACTGTGATGTCTACAGTAATTTGAAGTGAAAAATTTCCTGAGGCTTTATTTTTCCACAGAGAACTTCCCACTTCATAAAAATAAGGAACTAACAGCCCTTTCCTCTGCACAATGCCATTGGCTCCAGGCAGTTAATGCCTTTGCCCTCCATTGCTAACATTCTTCAATTCCAAGTGCTGTCTTTCACATATAAACCCCTAACTGGCTGGAGATCAGGGTATCTGAGGGAACCCCTTTCTTCATATATACCTACCCACCCACTTAATTTCCTCTGAAGTCTTTCTCCAAATACATTCCCTGGTGAATTTAAGGGGAAAAGAGCTAAGAGAGGGGCATTCTCTGCAGAGGCGGCCTGAATTTGGAGGTTGCTCCCCCAGGACATATGGCTGGCACCAACCTTGCTTTCTTTCAGGCACCAGGTAAAAACATTTTTGTTTTGGCAAGCATTTGGTTAATGTGAATTGTAGTTTGTTGATGATTATCTTTTTAATTTTGATTGTTTTAATTTATTTGGCTACATCCAGATATGTCGTATATTCTTTGTATATTTGGGACACATTTTAATGTTGTTTTTGTTTTCAGCTATTTTATTGATTGTATTGTATGTGTATTTCACATGGCTCTGCATCTGTAAACTACCCAGAGAACCCTTGGGTTAAGGGGTGGCATAAAAGTAAAATGAATGAATGAATGATCAAATGAAGGGAAGCTGAAAGTGAAACTAAGACTGTGATTACTATTTGTTTAACTCTTCTCAGAGATGTGCCTCATTTCTTCTCTTGAGTTTGCAAAGTTAGATGTGTCTGCCTAAGATTTGTTAGTTGACTAGTGCTTGTGGTTATTTTGAGCTAAGTCATAATGCCAAAACACAAGAAAACTAGCATATGACATCACTGGTTGTCAGATCCCTTGTCACCTTAACTGCACTTCAGTCTTGCCTCTATGTGATATGTGATAACAACCTTATAATGGTAGCAGTGAGCTCATTTCCTTACTAACATTTCCCAATACTTTCTGCTGTGACCTTTCTTTCTCCTTCATCGCTATCATATTAAACTGGTAGCTAACATTACAAGACTGCTGATGCTTCACAAGAGTACATTTTTATGTAACACATATGGATTGGAAGGTGGTACTACAAGGCATGGTAAAAAAAGGTCAAGGAGGAAAAAAAAAAACCAGGAAGAAATTCTACTGCCTTCAGCAATAAGAAGAGTCCCAAGAATATGACAATATGCCTATACTTGCAACACACATTTATATGAAAGAAGGAGTAAGAATGAAAAGGATCCAAGGCAAAAGAAACACTTACTTATCCAAGGGTCCTTGGTCTACTTGAGTTAATATGTATGAACTGTTTGCATAATTGTTTATCAAATAACTGTAATTGCTTTTTTCATACCCTATGCTTAAATATGATTTATAATGAAATAGCCAGTTTCTGGTGCTAGGAGAGCAACAAAGCACGGATGCCTTGCAGCTCTCTTACCCAGCATCTATTACATGTTCGACCACAGTGCAGCACCTACAGGTAGCAAAGGGGAAATGACACAGGTACTCGCAAAAGCTGACAGCTTTCACCTGTCCTGCTCCTTCCACACATGATAGCAACAGAGTACTGTACACTGCTTCAACTCATCATGCTGGGCAGGCTACCAGTATTTTAAAATTTCTCACATCTGGGAACCTGATCTCTGTTATCCTGTCATCCGATGAGGAAACAGCTAATATGTTCTGAACCACAAGGATTGTGTTCTGTCCGCTTCCTTAAGTAATAGCCTATTACTGGGAGCTGCATGTCTTCCAGTTTAAGAATAAAAATTAAACTGCTGCACCCAGGCCATCCAAATCCTTTGCTAGGAAAAGATAAAGCCTCATGTTTCTTGTGACTGATTTTAAATCATTTATCATCATTTTGATAGACTGGGAAGAGCAAGTGGCACCACACAGCAATGATGTCCTGATGTCCCCAACCACTGACCATCTTCTCAGTCATTGCTCTGACTTCTGGGAAGTTAGTAAACACGGCACAAACATATACAACTACAACTTCAAAGCCTGCACTGACTGCCTAGGTGTTTCTGAGTCCAATTCAAGGTTCTGGTTTTAATCTATATAGCTCAGAATTATGATATTTGATTAACGACATCTCTGAACCACAAACTACCTGAACACTATGCTCATCATCCCAGGCCTTCTAAGTGCCACCATCTCACTGGTGGCCCCCCAGTTATGGAAAACTCTCTCCACTGAGGCCTGCCTGGTACTAACCTTACTACCCTTTCAGTGCCAGGTTAAGACTGCTCTCTATGCTACAACATTTAACAGCCCCAAATAACACACGGGGACTTTATGTTATCTGCAGGTTTTGTCATTTTAACTTGACTCACTATTTAAATTGCTTAAATTTGGTTGTTTTTTTTAGTGAGTTATGATTTTATTATCTGAATTCTGTATTACATATTACTGTATGTTCATGAGTTGTAAACCACCCAGAGAACTTCAGCTATTGGGTGCTATAAAAATAACATTATTAATAATGTTAAGTCTGGTGTGGAAAACTTGTGGCTCTGCAGATGCTTTGGCCTTTAACTCCTATCATCTCTTATCGTTGGCTATGCTGACTAGGGCTGATGGAATCTGTCAGTCAAAACAGCTTGGAGGGATACAAGTTGCCTATCTAGGCAACTTTTTATATATTTATATGGGTTTTAATATTTTTATTGTACAATTTGTTACGTTTTGCTCTTGTTGTGAGCCGCCCCGAGGCTTTGTTGCGATGGGGGCGGCATAAAAATGTTTTAAATAAATAAATATGTCATAAGTATTTTAAACTTGCTTTGGTAAGTAAAATACGAATTTCTGTCGCTGCACTGTGCCCAATTTTATTATGCAATTTTAATACACTCCTCCAGGAAAACAGTCTTTGATATCCTTCTTGGATGCTGTGATGTTCCAATGAGTGTGCTCTTTGGTTCTAGTTTGGGCAACGATATCACAGTCTAGGAAGAACAAATTCCAGCAGCTTGGACGTAAGACATATAGCCGCCTGATGCTTAAGATGCAGAAGGAAGAGCATTTTCCAACCCACTGTGATATAAGTGGTTAAATAACAATGAAAGTCCAAGAAGCAGAAGTCACAAGTCCTAGGTTGCAAAAGAATTTACATTTCGTTAAAACCCTAAAAATAATCATTCCCACTTTTACAAAATCAAAACAAAATCCAAAAGAGTAAAGTTACCTGTATTTATGAATGATGGCATTAAATAATCTCCCATCTCGCCAGCAGGTAGTGAAATTTTCACAACGAATTCCAGCATAACCCTCAGTTGTCTGCTGTGTCCACAGAAGTAATCTCTCTTTAGCAGACATATCCTCTGACTCTCCAGTAACGTGGATATCAGAAATCTAAATTGAAACATAATAAATTGGTTAAATTAAAATAGTTCTAAATTACTACTAAAAATGCAAACAGTATCAGCGGCTTCTCAAATCTTTCCCCCCTTTATGGTGAAGCACGGTCACAATACCTTCGGGCAAAGTCCCAGTGTGGCACACATAACTTGGCATGAACTCCACAACACAGCTGAACCAATTCCAGCACCTCGATTCAAGTGCACGGGGAACTACACTAATGTCCCTGGGTGGCCTCTGCCATTAGCAAACATATGCAGTCTAGGCTGATGGCTCTGCAGAACTGCAGGAAGTTATGCAGTGAGAGAGGACACAATCAAATCTGCATGCTACAAAGAAACTAAATCTAAGAAATGATATTTCAGACAAAATGCATCAAAACATAGTAGTGAGCATTGACAAGTAGATAGAAGGAAGTTATTGATAAGGCGAGTCAGCGCAAGTTACTGAGTATGTAAATGAGGAAGATGACTAGCAAGTGGCAATTTCCCCTTAATTTTCTCATCAGTCTCAGTGTGGACGAATTTAGATAAATCAATGTGGACTCCCATGGAGGTTTCACTGAGCCCTTAGGAAATAGCTGGAGAAACCCATTGATTTCTTTAGATGAAGTCTTCTGAAGACTAAAGAACAAAGAAACTGTCATATAAATAGCTAAATATTATACATCCATCTGAAACAGATTGCCACCCCATTGAAGTCTTCCAGCACACTGAGACTTAGAGGTCAGGGAAAAGGGTGGCCTGGGAATCTTTTTTTAAAATGTGTTACTATCACATATGCAAAGAGATTTGGCTACTTTCCAACCATTAATTCCTTTCTTCCTTTTCCCACATTCTTGTATGTTTTTAAAAGTATAATCCATGGATAGGACTTATATCCTATCCATGAGAAATGGTCAAAAAACAGCATGTCTGAATTGACAGTAGATACAGAAGTCGTCTTTCTACATGCCTAGTTAGGTGCTTATCAAAGGAAGACAGCTCTACCAGCTGTACGACATGTGCTACTCTCATGTCTGGTCCTCTCAGCCATTGGAAGCTGACATAGCCAAGTGCTCATCTGACTATGAGGACAAGAAGCAGCGAAACACCAGGTGTAATGCCCCAAATTAGAGGCATCTATACATGACCTAAAATTAAAACAACCCTCTGCCTTTGTGTCTCACAATTTAGGGGTTACTCCAATTTCAAAATATCAGTGGGTAATTTAATTATGTTAAATATCTTTCCTAGTAGTCTCAATTTCAATCCAGACCTATAATGCAATGTAAGTAAAATTTGCAACACATAATTTGAAAAAAGTTTATTAAGATGATGGTGTCAAGATGTATGTCTAGCAAACTACAATTCTTTTTAAATATATTATAAATTAAAAAGAAATTGGTTTTGTTGTTGTTGTTGTATGTCTATACTGTAAGTTTCTCAAAAATGAGTGCAAATACAATTTTTTACAGCCCAACTGATTCAAGGAGAAACCCTAGACTAGGAGAGAAATCCCCAAAATGGTGCCTCTTGGCACCATTGCAACCCTTTGCCTTGCTATTTCCCCCCTCCCTTCCACGCTCTAGCCTTGCTTTTCTGTTCCCTCTCTCTCTCACACACACTCCTCTTTGGCTCACTTTTCACTTGCCAAGTCCCCAAGGTAGCCATTATGTGAGTAACCATATCCATCACAGGAGCCATTTTCTGGTAAGGCTCAAAGCAGCTTCTCACATTCCCAAATGTGTCCACAGGCTCAAAAGCACTGGGGACCCCTGCCTAGACCTTTGGCCCACTTCACAGCACACTGATTTTTAAGTACTTTGTTTATTGGAAGCATCACAACGGAAAGAGCATTCGATTCCTCTCTCTCTAAGTGACTATTTGCAGAGAGCAGAATAAGTCTGCAAGTGTCAGTTATATCTGCAGTGACTCATGCAAATAGTATGTACCAGTTACCACACAAAACCAAGGAAAACAAAATCTTATTTCAAACTACAGTTGCTGAACACTCCCATTTTTAGCTCGATTTAGGATTTGAAATTAATCTGTTGTTACAATCATTTTCTCTTGCATTTCATAAAAAGACCTTTAGCAGCTGTATGGATAAGATCAAGAAACTCCCTTAAAAGTTTGTGTGTGTGTGTGGGGGGGGGGCTTGGAGTCTCATAATACATTCAAAGACACTTTTTATTTGGACAGCTCATTCCCAGTGCCCCAGCCTACTGTCAGTTCACATTTTCAAAATGTTAGCAACTTAGGGAGAATACAATCAGATAGAAATGGCTCCAAAGTAATTCTGAAAGCAGGGACTCAAGTCCTGAGCTGGTGACTTTTGATTGTAGGCCCAAGCACATCCTGCCACATCACCAGAGTACCCTGCAGCAAAAGGGGAATTACAGGCCTAATCCTGGCTTCCTTGAAGTGCTATCTCTACAGGTAGCCAGCCAAATCAGACAACATGAGGAACCTATACAGCTCTCCCTGTTTTCATGTGACTGCTGCCTGAGGCCACAGCACTGTGAACAAGCTGTCCTTTGGTGCAGGCTGAACTGCTACGGACTACCTGGTAGCCTGAGCCTGCCTGTCTCCCACTCTTATAATTTCCTCAAATAGAAATCAAGCAAAACTGAAAGGTCTGGATAAACAGTGACTGGTCATCCTGAGTTGTATCCAACAATGGATTTATACTAGCAGAAAGTCTGCACAAGGCAGAGCATCTACTACATTCTCTTGTGACCCCTTCTCCATAGGTTGCATCTGAAGGTACATCTAACAGATGCTGCAGGCTGGAGGAGGGATCAGAATACCTTTGCTTTATGAGACTAGTCTAGTATAGCACTCCCAGCTAATGCAAAGACACCCCTGGATATAACCTGGAATAATCTGATCAAGTCAATTAATGAATTCAAGATAGCAATGATCATAAATAAATCTGGATGCACATCCTTCTATTTAGAAATAGAAACTAAAATTAGTAGCTGTGGCTCCTGATACTTTAAAAGAAGTAACTATGACTCAAAAGTCATCTAAAACTCTCTACATTCACTAATTATCTGTTAAAAGAAATGAGATTAACATGTAACAGCTCTGTATATGTTTGCTGTCTCTATACATGATTCAGCTCAGAAGACAAACGAGAAGCAGTAAAAATGAAATCAAAACTTTTGAAGCTCAGAAGCATGAGCTGGCTCACTGAGATCAAAAGTGGCTGCATGGTGCCTAGGCGTTCCAGGTGAAAAAAAGCCTGTACAAAATTGCACAGATAGCATGAAATCTGTTCCTAAGGTATATGTTACCCCAGAAGGAAAAACAAATAGAGTTAGAAACATTAAAGAAAGGGGTTAAATGAAAGGATGTTTTCCCCACATGGCCATGATATTTGCTGGTTAGGACATTCTTCACTGAAATATATGGTCCTGCTCTATACATGTGGCCAGTGGCCCTGAACACTGGAGCAAGCCCAGCAAACTCAGGCAGGGGATAAGACTATACATGCAATGACTTCTAGCCCAAGAAAGAGTTCAAGGAAACCAACCAAACCTGCAAGAGTCTGACCCTGCATACACTTCCAGATTATACTCCCCGTGTGCACATGCACACGCACACACACAACCTTCGATCTAAATGACTTGGCTTTCTAATCCTTCTGACCCCAGTTTTCCTCCGCTTCACCTTTGCCAGTTCATTGCCTCAGATCAGACAGCCATTGCCTTAGACTGAACTTTGCCATCTCACATAATCCTGCTTTGAACCTAATTATTTTTGGAATATAGGTTTCACTGGATATTACCCCAGTTTCAATACAATGATGTTATAACATATATAAAAACCCAGTGTGTATGGGCCCTAATTCCAAGTGACCAACATACATATGGGACTTTGCAAATGGAATACCATTCTGTTCTGTGGTTCTCTGAAGCTCACAAGAGAAGGTGAAAGCAATTTCAAGGAAGCACCTTGGATAGTTCCAAGAAGGTTCAGCTGGCCAGAGCTCTCTCCTACTAGAAAATTGGGGGGAAGGTGGCTCAGCAGGTAGCTAAAACCAACCGAATGTACACTGACAAGACCTACAAGTATTATCAGCTGTTCCCATCCTGGAGGAACTAACTGGATTGTTAAAGGGACCTCACCTAGCCAGAGATTCTGCAGAGTTGGCGAGATGGAGGTTCAGCTGGGGCACAGATGTAGACACAAAGTTATGCAAAATGTGAGAAATCTTCATTACATCTACTTGCTTCTCAGTAATGAAAGACATGACTCCTTCCCTACTTCCCTTTTATTTCCTTGCACTCTGGAGCTCTGGGCCAAGCACAGGGACCAGGAGAAAAAAGGGTTTCTAATGCATATTTCCCCTCCCTTTCCAATCTTCCAGCTCCCTACCACAGAACCCACTGGGAAGAAGGCAGTGTGTTCACTGGGGTGGGAAAGATGCCCATCAAAAAATTGACAGACATTGGCTAGATATAATACTTTAGATGATGCTTCTGCTTTCCGTTTGATGGGATTCCCTGAGATGCATATCCCTGCATTCCTAGCTCCTTACAGCAGTAAATATAAAAGTATAAATTAATTTTGCCATAGGTATAATCCTTCCTATTTTTTTAGTTTGGTTCTTTAATTAACCTAGCTCCTAACCAGCAGAAGCTTGTTCTGACCATGATACCAAAAAGAACAAAGACCTTCTGTAGTAGTATAGTGTCTTATAAGCTACTTCGAGAATTCAGATTTTTCACATGGCAGTGTAGAGAGCATGTGACTTTATTTATGATTTGAAGATAGCAGCTATAACTTAAAGGATTTTGTGAAGGAGTCTCTTCAGCAGGACTTCAGCAGTGTATCTTAAGATATGTTATCTTATCTCACTTATTCTGGCCAAAAGGACAAACAGAACCACCTTTTCCTCACTTGCAATAAAACACTGTATATATGTTAAAGACAGAAGATGATGTGATGGTAGAAACATCCAGGAAGTTTTTTGCTACCTCTGGGGCATTTGGAACAAAGGTAAGC